AGACGTTTCATCTGCCTCTCCGGTGCACAGAACTATGTTTACATCGGCTATTAACCCCTCCTCTGACAGTATAAGCATGGTTAGCTCCGAAGAAAGTAGCTCTAAGACTGTTGGTGCATCAGCTGATCACATTTCTCTAGAGTCTGTAAACACTGAAGGTGGTGCTTTAGTGCCTGTAAGCTACAGCTTTAGCACACTTAACACTACGAACTGTTCTTTCAAGGCCCGGCTCCCAGGCCCCTTGTGTTCTAGGGATAGCTGCGGCCCAGCACTCCCCTGCACCTATCTCAGTTCCCCAGGTGAGGGGGGCTAGTGCCTAGCTGGTCCCTGTTCCGGTTTCCGGGTCGGCTGAGGCTCTGCTGGTCCCTGCACCCATATCAGCTCCTCGGGTGGGGACAGCAGCCGCCCAGTCCCTGCCGAAACCTGTGCCAACCGCTGAGGTGAGGCCCACCAGGACCCAGCCAATCTCTGCACCTGTACCTACTCCTCAGGTGGGAGCGACTGGTGTCCAGCAGGTGCCTGCACCTTTCATCCGCATTGCAGGCTCAGGGGAACCGACACCGGCACCTGTCCTACATCCGCTCCCACAACCATCATTACACTCAGTTGCACAGAATGCTCCTCAGTCAGTCAGTCAGCCTTCTCCCCAACCGCCATTACTACCACTAGCTCAGTTTGCTACCCAGTCTCCCTCAGTTCAATCTGTAGCTCCGTCTCCCGTGTCCCTGCTGGCTCCGTCTCCTGTGTACCCCGCACCTCAGTCATCTACCCCACCACAAGCTCAATTTTCACCTCTACCATCACTTCAGTCATCAGTTCGGTCTGCCACTCAGTCGCGCTTAGCTCCATCATCCACACTACCACCTGCTTCTCTTCCACCACAACCGTCACGACACTCAGCCATTCAGGCTGCTGCTCAGTCAGTCATTCAACCTGTAGTCCTGCCATTAATGCACTCCTTAGCTGAACCATTAGCACAGTCACCGTTAACTCAGTCGTCCACTCCACCGCCTACTCCACTGTCACCACAACCATTACTACAGCCATCAGTTCAGTCCCCTGTAGCAGTTTGGTCTTCTGGTCAGCTTAACATTCAGCCAGGGGTCCCGATACCCTCTGGCTCTACATCAGCTCCTGCTGGAAGCTCGGATGAGCCCATAAAGCACTCCGCAGCTTCCACGCTGTCACCTGCCTTGTCCGCTGGGGGTTCTGGAGAGCCCGGCCAGCACTTTCTCATCTCCGCTGGGGGGTCCAAAGAGCCCGTCCAGCAGCCTGCCTCGTCAGCTGGGAGGCCCGGGGAGCCCGTCCAGCCACCAGCTTCAGCTTTGCCGTCGCCTGGTTCAGCCTCTACTTCAGCTTCGCCGTCGCCTGGTCCAGCCTCCGCATCGGCCTCGTCCGGTGCTGTGGGGGCTACGCAGCCTTTAGGTCCCATACTGCTGCCTCGACATCGTCGGTCGTCTGCCAGTCCACTATGGACTGCCTCCAAAACGCCACCGCTGCCTTCCGCGCGGTCGGCCCCCGGAGCTGTCTGCCCGCCGTCGCCGTCCGCACGGTCGGCCCCCGGAACTGTTTCCACGCCATTGCCGCCCGCACGGTCGACCTCCCGAACTGTTTTTGACTTGCTCCTTGTGCTCCAGTTTTTGTGGTTATCTTGTTTTTGGGCTCGAAAAACTTTCAGTTTCGTGTCCTCCCCGCTCAGTCATGAGTAATTGTCCTCAGCTGTGTTCCCCGTGTGTTCCCACTTCCCTCATTACCTTCTGTGTATTTATGTCACAGTATCCCTTTGTTCCGTGTTGCGTCATCCCTCTAGGTTGTGTGCATTCCCTCGTGTCTTCCCAGCGCCTCAGCTTTAGTTTCTACCAGTATAGTTTTGTATGACTTCTTATGTTCCTATTAATAAAGACCTGCGTTTTGAGTTTATCCCCACGTGTCTTGAGCCGTGCATTTGGGTCCTCTCTTGCCTTCACACAGCCGCCGCATGACAGAAGATGAGTTAACGTCTTTGTCACCAAATGACAAAAATCTCTTTTAAATTTAGCTTAACAGACTTCCTGTCAGAAACTTCCCAAAAAGAGAAGTGCAGTTAAAATGAAAACATCCCCTGAGAAACTTCAAAGAGAAAATATGCAGTTATTTTATACCTGTGGCAAATTTAAATTTAAAAAGATATTTTATTTGTCTGTTGTTGTTCCTTATGGCAGCAAATTATAGAGTAATTTTAA